GGTCAAAGATCTGAATATTAAAAGAAACACTAAATCTATTGGAAGACAAATTGGGTAGAAACCTTGAAGACACAGAGGTAGGTAGAGAATTCATGAACAGGACTCAAACCGCACAGGAAATACTTCCCAGAATCAATAACTGCGACCACCTCTTATTAAAAAGTTTCTGCATGTCAAAAGAAATCTCCAGCATAGTGAAAAGAAAACCCACAAACTAGGAAAAGATCTTAGTGAACTCCCCTTCAGACAAGGGACTTTTGTCTAAAACATATAAAGAATTAAAAAAACTCAGACCCCCAAAATTCAAAGATCCAATCCAAAAATGGGCATCTGAGATGAATACACACTTCTCAGATGAAGAAATACAAACAGCAAATAAATACATGAAAAAATGTTCATCATCATTGGTCATTTGAGAAATACAAATTAAAACCAAACTGAGATTCCATCTCACTCCTGAAAGAATGGCCAGGATCAAGAAAACCAACAACAACAAATGCTGGAGAGGCTGTGGAGAAAAAAGAACTCTCCTACACTGTTGGTGGGAGTGTAGACTGGTACAACCTTTGTGGAGATCAGTCTGGAGATTTCTCAAAAGGCTGGGATTGGAAGTCCCATTTGTTCCAGCTATTCCACTTCTAGGCATATTCCCAGAAGAATTGAAAGCATCATACCACAGTGATATATGTGCACCTATGTTTATAGCAGCACAATTTGTAATCGCCAGATCTTGGAAACAACCCAAGTGTCCATCAGCTGAGGAATGGATAAAAAAGTTGTGGTATTTCTATACAATGCAGTATTACTCAGCTATAAAGGAGGATCACATTGGGATATTTATAAATAAATGGGCACAGCTTGAGATCATACTCATAAGTGAAATAAATTAATCTCGCATGTGTAAATACCAAATAGTTTCCCTAATGTAAGTAATGATTCAAATATATAAAAGTATGTGATAATCATGATTCCCCATTATGTGGCCTGGAAGCCTTATAAAGTTTTCACTTATTAATTGGAATGGCTTTATTCTGGGCTGCTTGATATTATTGCCTGTGATGAAATGAACAGCTATTTTGAAGAAAATAAGTCAGCATAATAGCTAGTGCTGATTTACTATCATCTTGTTTTGAGGCCCCACCAAACTATGGCTCTTCTGTCTCCATTCGTTTTATCATGATGTATCTTGCTGGATTTTATTATATGTGATACTATAAACAAAAATTGTTATAGACAAAGATATAATATAGAAACCATTGTTCATTTTCTGTTAGCTGTTTCTAAATACCCTACAATGTTTTCATCCACTTGAATGGTTTTACACTGACTTGATATGTTTGAAGCTATAGTATATGAAATTATATTCCAATATTTCAAGGAAAAAGACACTATGGTAACTACTATTAAGTCGGGTTATTTGGTAGTGAAGCACTAGGTTGCTGAAACTGTCATGCTTTGACCTGTATTGTTATGTTGTTATGTCCTCTTTTATCTCAATCTCTCCCTTATTCATTAAAAAAATTATTGTTATTTTTTATGATTTTTTTAATTAAGGAGAAAATCAAAACAATTAGCAGGATATACTATAGTAACTTTTTTGATTTCCTATTAACTTGATTTGGAGTCCTGTAATACTCCCACTATCTTGTTTTGACTGATTAGACTCTGTTCCGTTCTGTATGATAGTATCAAGTTTGAGGGTATAGGCAACTACTTTGAAGGCAATAAGATTCACTATGATGCCCATTCTGATTTGACTATTATCTTCTTTGGAAGTCCTATAATGTATACAAGGTTTAGATTTTATTGGTCTTGTTCTCTACTGTTTTGTTCAACTTTGTAATACCTAATGAGATAGGCAATTCTTTTTAAAGAAGCAAGAGGCATTATGGTAACCATTGTTGATAACCTTGTACTCTGTAAATATCATGTGCTATGTCTATCCTTGGTTTTGACTGACAGCTGTGTTTTGCCATATTTGACTTTATTCTCTTCCCCCCCCAAAAAAGTAATAAGAACTAAGGAGTAATAAAACCCAAAATGTGTAATTTTGTTATAAAAAAAAGAGGGAAAAAAAGTGCTCTAAAGGATACAACTGCAAGTGTGTTTAGGGGTGTTAAATAGGATGATAGGTTGGATCATTGACCACAACTGTTTGCAGTCTCACTGTTTGAATGTCCACTTTGTATGCTTTGATATTGCGACTTGAGCAACTATCTCTAAGATGATAATGTGTCATCTATTAACTGGTGATTTCTTACTGTTTTGTTTTGTTTTTTGTTTTTTTTTTTTGTAGTTCTGTATTACTTGTACCCTTACACCGCTTTGTTTTGTTTTGTTTTTTCTCTTTTTCCTTTTAAATAAAATTTTTTAAAAAATGATAAAGGTATGAGGAAAGAGACATGTTTACACTAATTGAAACATTACACAATGTGTACATGTATCAAAATATCACATGGTGCCCCATAAATATATACAATTTTTTGTGTACCCATGAAAATAAGCAAATAAAAATAAATCTTAAATAAAACTGAACAAACTAGGAAAATGAGAGAATGTGTCTCATGGTAACAACAGAATGAGGGTCCTCACATACCCCCATGCTGTCCATTCTGGCCTCTGAGCTTCAAAGAGAAGAAGGTCAAAGAATGGACAATAAAAACAGACTGTTTTATCAGCAAATGCCTAAATAGGCTCAGGTATCTTGTGAAATCACTAATGTAATACACTTACTTTGATATCTTGCTCTAAAAGCATTTTTGTATTGAGCAATAGTCAAATACAAAGTACAGCATAGGCTACACGTGGGTACAAAGATTAAGACAACACGATGCCTTTTCTCTCCATATCTCACTGTGTCTAAGAAAGGAAAACCCAGGTGTGACACAAAATTTAGTCTGGACCATCTTCAGGTTATTATTTATATTACAACTAAGTAAAAAGTTTCCCATCATATAAGACAACATGTATGAATGCAATTATATTCTTACCTAAAACTATTCCACAATTGATTTTTTTCTATTCTCCATACACACGAGGCTTGAAATTTGGCACTGGTTAGTATAACATTCTTTTTTTTAAATTTTTTTTTAATTTCTGTTTTTTTTTGTTTTGTTTTGTTTTGTTTTTTTGTGGTACCGAGGATTGAACTTATGACCGTGTGCTTGCAAGGTAAGTGCTTATGCCACTGAGCTAAATCCCCAGCCCCAAGTATAACATTCTTGCCATCAAAAATGTAGCAGTATACAGGCAGGCATGATGGCACATGCCTATAATCCCAGCACTCAGGAAGCTGAGGCAAAAAAGATTGTTGTGAGTTCGAGGCCAGCCTGGGCTATGTAGTGAGTTCACTTTGAACTATATACCAAGACCTTGTCTCAAAATAATAAACAAAAAAAAAGAAAGAAAAAAATATATATATACATATATATAATGTGTCATAGAAAGACAGACAGAGATAGAAATGATAGCGATAGATAGATAACAGTATTTTCCCAGAAGAAAAAAAAAAAGGCTAACCAAAGAATTGACTTCCTGTGTGATACAAAATATTTCCCTTAGATTTTAACATTTAAAAGGTTTTTCATAATAAAAATTGTATCCAGACATGTGGTATATGTCTGTAATCCTACCACCCAGAAGGTGGAGAAAGAAGATCACCACAAGTTCAAAGCCACCTGCTCTACACAGTGAATTCAAAGCCAGCCTGAACTACATAGCAGGACCCTGTTTCAAAAACACCTAAATAAACAAATGTAGGACATAGTTATAAAATCATATCTATTCCCAGTGTGGGAGAATATAATTTTTGTTCCCATTTATTGAAGATTTCTATAACTGATTCTAAAAATATCGTATCATGAAGGTGCTGGATCCTGAGAAGCATCACAATTCCCCTGTCGTATCAGTCTAACTGGAAATCAATACATAATAAGCCAGCCCAGGTTGTCACCCTCCACAGTCCTGGGCAGAGAGCCACCAGAACTCAATGCACACTTCCCGGAGCCAGAACAAATGGGAGGAGCTCCCTGTCATTCACACTTTGGAACCTCCCTTGCCTCCGTAGATGTCGCGGCCTTCCCCCACCTCCCATTCCTCATGGTCCAGGAAGGTCCAGAGGGCATCTACTTCAGAGGCACCTGGCCTCCCTCCTCCCCACGGCAGAGTCTTCCACGGGGCTCTCAAGCCTCTCTCTCCCCTCCAAATGGGACCTGGTTCTCTCTCAAGCTTCCCAGACTTCTCCAACCTCTGTTCAGTCTTCCCCATCACACCCCCTTGCAGTCCACCTCTGCAAAGCCCCTCCCACCCACTTCTGCAGTCCTGCTTTGCTTCTTTAGGTGATATGCCAGCTCCTCTGCCTCCATGTTTTCACAGATATTTTCCATTAATACCCAAGGGGTTGTAATGGTATTAGCATAAATCCTGAGACAGAAAGTGTTCAGAAACAGCAAACTTGATGTTTACCATTACTCTGGCTCTTAGTATTGCATTTCCCATAAACCCACTAAAATAACTTAAGCCATCAACATCTTCATCCATTAGCTGGAGGTCTTCATGCTACTTCACTCTCACTGAATGTGGACAGGTTAACACATCTCCATGTGTTTAAAATTCTTCCTGTCTTTGCTTTATGGGGCACCTGCTTATCTCAGCACTTGCCAGGGAGTTCAGTCAGGAAGTCAATCAGCACCTACCAGAGGACTTGAATTTGAAAATCCAAAATCCCTTTTGCCTGCTGCTGTTTCTGACCACCAGATGCAGAGCCGCCCAAAGCAGCACACACCTGGTCTTACACTGGGGCCATTGCATCCATGGTCCCTCTTCCCACATTGTCACATGCTTGACACTTTGGTCTCCTTGAAGACTCAGCTCAAATGTCACCTTCCCTGAGAGATCTTCCCTGGCCGCCAGACCAACTTCACCGAAGGTGAAACTCACTGAGCTACAAAGACAGGTTCAGTGTTATCAAGCTGCACACAGGTGACTCAATCCCTACTCACCTGGATCAGTGTCTCCAGTTCCTGGGGGCTCACGCAGATGTGGTCCCGCAAGAATTCCGCCTTCTCCAGGGCAATGGTGTTCTTCTGGCTGCTCTCAAAGGGCTGCTCCAATGCCCGGAAGACGAGGCCACCTGTGACGAGGTAGACCACCACGACCACAAAGATGGCAACCACGGTTTTCCACTTCATGACAGTCTGCAGGCCCCCCTGGGAGGCACCTTCCATTCTGGCTACCACCGTGGCGCGGGAGGAAATGGAGAGGCGTGGAGCCGGGGGGTGCCCGTTAGTGGCACTCTTGGGCTGGCACACCGGGGGGGCTGCCGCAGGAACAGCCACTGAGGAAGGAGGGGGAGAGAGGAAAAGAGAGTTTGTTTATAAAGGCAAAGCACAAAACTATCAGAAGCATAGCAGAAGTGTCTTCCTTCCACCAGCTTTCACCAAGCCAGCACGTGGGCAATGTCATCAGGTGCTAGGTGTCCTTTTTGTTTCTTTAAAATGAGTATTGGGAGTCATAATATTAAAGAAAAAAGTAGTAATTGAGCTTGAAATGATTATGTCTTTCTTCAAGGGTCCAAACTGGAAAGCCATCCCTCTGTTATTTATAATTCATCTCCACCTTTAGTTTCCTAGGAGATTTAAACAACGTGGATGAAACACAATAAATCACCGTACTTGAGAAACAGGCACATTGCTCAACTTGGAAAACAATAAATAAGCCACGGATGTACAGTTACTTAATATCCAAGTATAAGAACAAAGAAGAGAAGGACATCTATCAATGTAAAAAGCCTATCTTGCCACAAAACAAAGGACAAGAGAATGATCTTCTATAAAGGACAAAACTCAAGACACAGTAAAGAGGGCTGGGGTTTCTGAAAACTATCAGTAGTGAAGACAAAGACAGATGACCATAATGGGGGACAAGAGAGATGTTTTATGCCAAGTTATCCTGGTTTCATGATAAAAAATAGTAAGAATAAAACTGATCCCAAATGTAGTTCCTAAGCAGAATTCTTCTTCTGTTGGTTTCCAATAAGAAGAGAAGGGAAATGAAATTTCCTCTGGTTCTCAGAACACATAAGATTCTCTCAGGTCCCTTGTTCTCATTATCGGCAATTTCATTACCTTGGAAATAAATATGTTAAGCTGGCGTTTTTTCCACAAAGGCAGGAAATTCAAGGTAGTGTCATACAGGCAGTGCTTCTGCATATTACAGAAATCTGTCTTGGATAGCAGTGAGCAGTCTTTGCACTTGGATTTTGTTTTCCCTTTATTTTTCTAAACCTTCTTACTGCCTCCTGGGTGACTTGTGTAAATAATGTATCAGGAGATGACAAACAGAATTATCTAAGACACAAACAATCCCACTCCACTGGAGGCTAAACTGCCCGGTTTCTGTGTTGGAGAAGTAGACACAAATCAAAGAGTGGGAATGTCAGTCCTTGCTCCAAAGCAATGATCCTGACAACATCTGGCTGTAGGGGTGAGTGCTCTAAGAACCAGCAACTGAGCTGCCCTGGTTACTGATTAGGGCATATTTGTCGGTTTCAGGAGCCCTGGAGGGGACCTCAGGGATACAAAACCTTTTGTGCATTTGACCAAATCTGGAGTTGGCTACTTTAGCAGACACAACTGCATATTTTGACAGCTGGAAAAGGACTTGGACTGTGCGTTCACCTTAATTTGGACAAATTTCCAAAGGGTGTTCTAATTAGTCCATTATTGCCCCTTGGAAATCAGAGTTACTCTCACTCTGATACAAAATTGCCTGTGACCGGGGACAAGCCACTGTGGGACTCCATGGCTGGTGCCAACAAGGAAACAAAAGTGGACAGATGACCATTGTGGTAACAGTGGTGATTGCAGTTAAGGTGAGCCCCGTACTGAGCACTGACCCATGGCTGTCACTCTGATCAACATGATGCTTACATCACTGCTATGGACCATACTGCAAGGGATTATCACACTGTATGCATCCAGGTCCTCCCAGGAGCAGACATCAAGAAGAAAGCAGATGTGCACTGATTTTATTAGAGGAAATGCATGTGTGAGAGGAAGCTAGGACAGCCATAAGTCTGCCCCCAGTGACAGAAGGAGGAGGAAGCGTGGGTAAGGATCCTGGACCCTCAGAAGTCTCAGGAAGGTTTGGCAATGTGGCTAAAGTCATTCATATGAAGAGGTCTGTTTCTCCCAGCAACAACCTGCAGTGGCATCCTCACATGCTCAGTCTCTGGAGGAAACAGCCTGTGGGAAATGCACCTGCCACGCAAGCCCAGCAACAGACACCCCAGCAGCCACTGTGGCTCTGGGTCACCTGTACTCCCTCCAAAGGGAGCTCTGAAAGATCTGCTTATGGCACTACACAGGGAAAGAAATTGAGACCCACACAGGTCAAATGCCAAGCAAAGGCAAGCATCCAGCAAGTAGTGGAGTCGGGAATAAACTAGCATAATCTGACTCCAAAGTCAGTTCTCTTTTGGGCCACGGGGGAACAGAGTCAGAAACAAAGTAACTTACATGAAAGGCATCTGTGTCAGGCAGGCATAAAAATATTTCCAGTCTCTGACACTAACCACTTTAGTTTCCCAGGGGTGATGGATTCTTTCCCATACAATGTATCAATAATGGACAGATCCTATAAATCGAGGATCTAACCTACTTCACAATACCAGCAGAAACATGCAGAGAAAGAGCTGCAGAGGGTTGGTAAGAAAAGAGAGGTTTCAACATAATATCCTTCAGTCAATGCTTACTTTAAAATGTTTCCTCAGAAATGCTAGCACATTTCATTTTTACCTCAATGTGGGTACCTATCCAGAATATGTAGACATCAGGGTGTTTTTAGTGATTGAATAAATTCTTAGTGATTTGATTTGGGGGGGGGGGTCCTCTGGCCACATAGATTTTACTGCATCATCCATGCATTTAGTAGAGAAACATTTTATTCACCTGGCACCATGTCTAGCACTGGGAGTATATAAATGACACAGCCCTGCCCTCAGAGTTAACAGGAAAACAGACAATGATTTTGTGTTATGGCTGAACCCGTTTTAGCTTGGAAAAGTCTTCTATAGAAGGCAGTGATCATTATGTTCTGCCCTTGACAGGTGAGGGACAGGGAGCCCAGGAGGTGACGTTAAGTGTCCTTTGACAAACCGATAAGCAGTGGTGTGATGCTAGACTGCCCCAGACACCCAATCTGAGCGCCTCCACTCCTCCTCACCACTTGAAACAAATGGTTCTCAAAGGACTCGGGTCCCTTGGAAACCCAAACTGCAAGTGCTTCTGTCACACAGCAACATGGCTTTGCCTGTTGACCCAGACAAAGTGCACCTGTGCCACAGAAGCACTGGCAGGAGGCAGAGGACAGCTCCTCTCCCCTTTCCTCCTCTCCTCTCACCCCAGGCCAGATCTGAAATCCTTCCAGAGTCACCTGCCTGGATGCCCCAGAGTCTCCTAAGAGCCCCAGGTTAAACTCACCTGGGGTCCCCACAAAGCTTCCCCAGGCGTGAATGGATATTAGGCTAGTGGGAAGGAGAGTGTCAGAGGGAGGGCAGGAGAGAAAGAAGCAAACACCTGCCTGCAGCTGTGAAAACAGAGCCTGTGTGCACCCTCTGGTTCCAGACACCCAACAGCCAGATCTTTTTTCCTCTTTCCACGTTACCAGTCCTGTCCCTTAAGGGTGATCAAGCTAGTCCCTGGAAGAGCAGCTGTAAGGCTCAGTCTACAGAGGTTGTATGAGCAAGCCCTGTTCCCAAAAGGCCACCCAGAGGAGGCTCTACCTCTGCCTATCACTCTCACTCAAACCCTGTTGCAAATGTTAGCCTTTGCGTCCAGACGGAAGGGGACATGGTCCATAAAGTGACCAAGAACCAAGAAGACAGGAACGGGCTGAGACAAGGAAGAGAGACTAAGCACAGGTTGCCCCCTTGTCTCGCATCTGTCCTCCCCCTTCTGCTCTGTGAGAGCCTCATCTTCTCACCTGAATCACAGACACCGCTCCCAGTTCTGTGCCCCTTGAATCCATTCTGCACATCCCAGCCACCTGGAGCTCTTGGCGTGAATCTGATCACATCAGCCCAAGGCTTTCAATCGCAGAGGCACCAGGACCCAGGGTACAGTGCAAGGTTCATGGCTTGTTCCAAGACTGTCCCTCTCAGGACCTGACACCTGCCTACTCTATCTGGGCCCCACCCTTACAAGCAACCTTTGCCCTAATCAAATCCAGGCCTCCCACTCCTTCTAGGCTGGCCCAGAGAAATGGCTTGGTTTGCCAATTCCTTTCTTCTTCTGACTACTGTTTTGACACCTCATGTGTCAGCATCTCCAAGAAGTCCTCCCTGACCATCCACTCGCAAAAATGACCACACAGCCATCCTCCATGTCTCTCAATGGAGTGCCTTCAATTAGGAGGCTCCTCATTAGAGTTTGTTCCATCTCTGAATTTGTCCATTCCTTCGCCCATCCATAAATTTGCCTGGGGTCAGCATTTATGAGGCTGAGTTCACACATCTGCCCCAAAGAAAGTTGGACTGCAGTAACCTGTATTGGTGAACCTTGTAAAGCTTTCGGTGATGACAGATTCCCCACGGCAGCGCACACGCCACAGGTTCACCACCACTGCTAACAGACATTGGCAGCCCTCCTGCCACTATTTTTGCCAGAGATGAACACACACAGTCAAGGTGTTAAAGTTCTCAGAAAGCAAACAGTGTAAGGAGAGGGCTTCATGGTGTAGTGTGTGATTGTTAGAGTGGATCAGAAAGGAAGCAAAGCAGAAATAAAGTTCTCTGTGCTCTGAACACTCATTTCTGTCAGTATTTCCTATTTTCCTCATGAAGAATAAAAGGTTCTCTTTTATTCCTGCATACAAAATACTTGTTAGGTTAAAAAAAAAAACTACCAAGCATCACAAATCACTATTGGCAAGTCACTTCATTGAAACCCAGGTTTTCCTGCCCTGCCACCACTGCACAGCCCAATTTGAGAGTTCACAAAAGACCTGTTCACCTGGGGCTCAGGACTAGTGAGTGAAAGATTTCTCCTCATCTTCTCCCCAGGTCTTCTTCCAATAAGAAGACAGAGATACAGTGTGGAGTGGCAGGAAGAGACAATAGTTCCAAAAAGGAAGAGACCAGAAAAGCTTTTAAAAGATGGGTACCCACTGACACAGAAAGATTAGTTATCTGCCAGAGAGAAAGGGGAGGGAAGAAAGCAAAGCAGACCACCAAGAGCAGGCAACCAGCACAAAGGCTGCTGTGAAACAGCCTGGGATGTCGGGGAAATCACCCCAGGTCTGTGGATCATGACTAGGTTTAAAGTTTGCTGTGCTAAT